CCCCTTGGGGCGTTTTGCTGTGCGTGATATGAAACAGACCGTTGCTGTTGGTGTTATCAAGAGCGTTGAGAAAGCAGATGCTTCTGGCAAAATGACCAAGTCTGCCCAGAAAGCTACCAAGAAGAAGTGATGGCTGCCCCCCGCGCTCGCCATGTCTGGTGCCGCAGATGACAAAAAGAAGTGTAAACGGGACATTGTTAAATTAAAGAAATGTCATGCAGAATTGTGCACTAGTGTTTTCAAATACTTCATTAGATATATTTTCTTCTTTTTAGCCGCCTGGATTTTGTCCAGTAAACAACACTGGAAACATTTCAGACGGAAAAAACATTTTGGTAACAATTTACCTTGCCTAATTTAATGGTGGCAAACAAAACTTGAAGAATTCTTTATTTTATTGTTGTAAGCGAAAAGAATTGGCCCTCTCATTTACCAAACCTCCTTTTTGTTAACTGTCGCAGACAGAAATTCTACAAGATAAAATGCCATCTATTGTTTGGACACAAGCATAATAAAAAATAAAATGCAGTCTAGAAAACATGCTTCCAGCTTATGTGTCATTTACTTATAGCCTGAATAAATGTGGCTTAAATTCATGATTGTTGCCTTATTTTGTTGACCCTGCACAGCCAGTGATGTTCCCAATTTGGCATGTTGGCAAAATATTGCCATGTATCTATTATAAACTTCAGATAGTTGTGAATTTATCACCTAAGAAGAGCACTGTTAATGACAGAGATTAATCTCCATAGTACATCGTGTAACCCAAATGTAGTTTAAATATATGAAGTTTTAAGATTGTTAGTTGGCCAGAATGGGTTTTGTACTTTAGGTGGGTCTATCAGCTGTTTATTTTATGAACATGGCTTTCATTAGCTCAGTTGTCAACAGATAACAAATTAATACAATTACTGAACGAAATGCTCCCTAATTTTCTGCTGTATACAACAATCTTGAAGTTGATCTGAAAGTAGCCATTTTGTAGTTGTGTTGATAGTGTGTGGTTTACCAATTTCGTGAATGACACAAAACTGAAACCGCATGTTGTGAACATCAAAACATTGTTTAAAGTTGACTGGTTTCTTTTACAAAGTGCATTGTTTGGCTAAATGTACTCATTCACAAGCATGACTGTCCTGACATTTCATACTGACTGACTGTTGTGCCATTTATGATTAGAAGACTTGAATCGTTTTCTATATACAAGTTTCACGGTTAGTTTCACTTCTGTTGGTTTGACTCGCACAAAAATCTCGTGTATAGCAAACCAGTTGGCTAATATGCCTGACCGTGGTTTCGTGACTCCTTTTTTTTCCCCTTCAAAATCTGTTGATTGAAATTTGTTTATTTTGGATGTTTTGTATGAAATTTATTTTCACTGATTTGTAAAAAAAAAAAAGGTACCGTATGTTGGATTCACCTAAAAACAGTATACAATCACACTAGAGTTGAAAAAACTTAATTTTTTAATACAAGTGATATTTACCATACTACATTAGAAATTCATAAATATATCTATTGCACATTAAATCTGATAAACATAATTGCCATATATATGATCTCATTAATGCTCAAATATTGTATCTTTAGCAAATAGGTAGGTGCCCGGAGATCGTGTGGAAAATAGAATTGCTCCTAGGGGGTCTGGTATGAAAAATGGTGAAATTATTTATCCACATCTCAAAATATTCTGGACATTCGCGTATTTGTATTAAAATAAATTTTAGTAGTGCTGAAACAACTCGACAAATTTACATTTAATTCCATGATATACATTAGGAAATTCTTTCCCAGAATGCACTGCATACATGTGCTGTAACAGTAGTACAAAACTTAAGCTCAAACTACATCAAGGGCATTTGTGAAACTGAAATTTAAGAAAGTCATCAATTGACAAGATTTTTCTGAATCAAAAAAAAAAATCATCTGCCCAAATAAACCTGCTACTGCTATGAAATGATATGAACAACATTGACATTAAAAAGGAACGCAAATACAAGTTAATAACAGTAATATTAATATGAAACTCGGATTTATATATTACATTATATCTTCTGAGTGAAAAAGTTAAATACAGGTATATAACTGGTGGTCAGTGTCTTTTCTTAACAGGGGCGCAGCGCCCTCATGCCAAGACCATGTGCCCCCTTACCCTGGGGAGCAGATCCTCTGGCAACCATACAATTCTGATTGACCAGGGATCAAATGTGGCCAGTCTTCTACTGTGACCTGTCTGATAGTAATTTTGGCCCCAAGGAAGTCATAGAATACTCCATTTTAACTTAGAATTATCAGAAACTCCACACCCTGGTAGGGAGAACCCTATCACCCTGACTTGGTGGCACCGCTGAATTGCAGTGCTCCCTCTTTTTTACCTAAGTTTTTTTCTAGAAAAAACTCCTGTTATAGACAAAACGATGCTTTACAAACAACCCCTAATGGTTGCGTATCCTTTCTGGAGCAGGTTGTCACTAATATGTGTCCCACCCCAACGTAAGTACGGCTCTCATTGATGCACAAAGATGATTTTAACACAGCCATAAGTGTGTAATAATAATAGGAAATTATCATTCAAACAACTGTGATTATAAACAGTGTATTTGTATCAAATCCACACCATTCTTGGTAAAAAAAATATCAATAACAACACAGAATGAAATTCCTAATCTAGAGAAAACATCTTGTCAGAGTTGGGGAATTTGTCACCAAAGAATTCAAAGCATGCAAGTGAGGTGAGCAAGTTGACACTGTTTATTAATTTAGAATGTTCAATGGCACTTTGTTAAGAATCCAGAAATATTTAACATGCACTAGTTTAATATTTATTTTGATTTGGTAATTCAGCAAATGAAGTTGTTGTATAGGACAATACCCCCAGATATTACCAGGATGTGTGACCTTTTGGGGTCATACATAAGGCATATTGTGAGCACTATATATAGACTTGTATCTCTGCCTCAGTTAATATATGCAACTAATTTACATATATATATGATATGCGGCGACCATAATGAATATGACTGTGGCTACCACCCTCTAGTGGCAGATTTGAAATGTTTTTTCTTAGAATGTGAGAAGAGTCTCCCGAAACAAATCAAATAGCTTCACTATCTCAGTGGTGTGCCATTTCGCATTGAAAATTGTTCTTTATGTTTCATGAGTTTTATGCATCTGTAGACTACTTGTTATGTTTGGAGATTTTGATTGATGGTAATAATTATTTTGTGTTGCATTATGGATAATTTTACTCATTACTTGTTTGATCTTTCGATGTGACTCGCCCTTTTATGGGCATTATTGCCGTTTGATGATAAATCCAAAACATGAAAGCTGTTTTCTTGTTATGTCAATGTGAATTTCTAATATTTTCAATTATCTCAAGGCTTTACGGGTCGCCAATGAGTTTTTACAGACCTTAAAGGGAGACACTCATCGTGCCGCGTCCTGTTCGATATGGGACTCATAGCGACGTATACAAGCGTGTAAAATACATTGTTTATTTACATGAAATTCGAACACACGCTGCCCAACGATCGCCATGCTTTAAGATTGTGAATACGATGTTCATGAAGGTACTTGGTTTTACACTACTAATCGTTCGCTGTATTGTGTTAAGCAGACCTGCACTGCTACTATGAATAAATCACATCTCCAGGATACGAAACTCTTGTAGACTTGTCACTTTAAAGTAAAGCTCTTGATGATACAATGATCCCCCAGTAAATATCGGTAAATTACTCGCGTATATTACCGTAAAATCTGTATTAGAAGCTGCGGCTTCTATTAAAATGGTACAATGCAACAGAAGGGATGGGGCTTCAATTAGAGCATCTACATGTATGAGAAATTGTGAATGTTTGGTACTCAATTATTCAGAAAGAATTCATGCGACTTCTATTAGGGATGCGACTTCTAATACAGACTTTACGGTACTGGTATACATACATGTAATACTTTGCTCAGACTCTGACAGAATTTATAAACTTGTCACTTTAAAGTAAAGCTCTTGGTGACACAATGGTCCCCCAGTAAAAAATGGGTAAATTGCTCGCGTATATTATATATATTTGTAATGCAACTTACTGCACTCAGACTCTGACCGAATTTATGAACATTGCCTCGCGAACAATGAACATGGTTTACAGTTATTCTGCTACAGTTATTTATCACATCTAAGATTTAAAAAAAAAAAAATTGTCATTAGTGATCTTGATCAAAATTTTTAAAAGAATATGAAAAAAAAAAAAAATTTATTTTGTGAAAGATGACAAATGGTTGACTTTGTTTTTAGAAAGATAACACCATAATTTTTCTCATCAAAATTTTGTTGCAATGCAATACTTTTATAATAACAATATAGCAAATTGGCATAATTTTCCTTTGGCTCCAGAAAGTTTTTTTAAAAAATCATTCTGGTTCATAGTGTAAAAGGTCAAAATTAGACTACTCAAGTGTCATATCTTCCTATCGCTCATAAAAAATGAGACAAATTTGGTTACAACGGCCATGCATGCAGAAACCAGAGCTCAGAAATAGTGTAGACATCAAATCTGATTTTTCAATCTTGTTACCAATTGAATTATCTTCTCATGTAGATGTAAGTCATATTCCTAGCACAACTTAGTGTTGCCCTGGCAACCAATTTTATCCTTTTTAGTCCAAGATCATCTGTCCATCTGGGCTGACCTTATCTTGTGGTGCAATATCTATGTTTGTTTTCCAGGCTAGATATGTGTTCCAAAATAATGCCACAGTGTTCACAAATAATACCCTGTAGCGGGGACAAAAAAAAAATATGCAAAACAAGTTAAAGTTGTCAAAATCAGCAATAACTGATTGGACCAAAACACAAATTAATGTGCATATAATATCATGTGTCATCTTTGAACAAGGTCTGACAAAAATTGACCAGGCATGTCTTATGAAATGGTTCCAGACAGATGCCATCCAAATTAATATAATAATTTTCAGACTTCGCTCCAACAAACAAGTACTGTAGAATACTTTATTTTCGCTTGGAATTTATTTTCACTATTTTTGCTGGATGGATGATTCCGTGAAAATAAAATCCAGCGAATATATTTTTTTCCCTATATTTCACATTAAATTCATCAAAAATCAGTGAAAATAAGTTCCATACAAAACGCCCAAAAAGCCTTTTCAGCGAAAATTAATTCCAGCGAAAATAAAGTATTTCACAGTAATAATTAACCTCAGTGACCCTGATTACATTACATGCACCTTTGTATGTTGCAGAAAACAGCTGTACTTAAACAAGTAACTCACCTGTATTGAGCTAGTGATGTACTAAAACCAATAACTCACCTGTGTTGAGGTAGTGATGTACTAAAACCAATAACTCACCAGTGTTGAGGTAGTGATGT